TCCATCTTTGGTACATAGGTAAGATTGGTGACATATTAAGATTGCGTGTCTGTGTGTGCGCGCACGCGCAGTGGGTCATTCTTTCCAAAAATGGTGAGCCACCTGCCCCACTCCAGCCCTGAGGTTGCCTCCCACCTCAGCAGTTCCGTGGTATGTGCCTTTGGCAGAGGATTTGCTCAGCACGTAGGCCTGGATGTGATGGCAAAGACACAATCAGAGGATGCCCCGCAAATCTGTTAGGATAGCTGTCGATGTCAGACCCCCCAAACAGAACTCAGGGGCACCTTTATGTGCCATGCTTCTCCTAAGAGGATTTTAAAAGGGCCAGGCATCTAATCTAAGCCAAATATAAAATTTTGAAAATGTGGCTTTTAGTGGTTGAGTAGGAGAGTAAGAAGCAAGATTATATTTGTTAACCTTAATTCCTTACTTGACTCTATCCAAAGTAATGGATGATAATACAGTGGGACCTCGGTTCTGAAGGCTGTTTAAGAAGTGATTTGTCCAAAAACTGAAGAATTTTTCCCCCTTTAGAAATCATGTAAATTCAATCAATTCATTCCAGACCCCCCCAAATGATTCTGTCTTAACCTTTTTTTGTATACAATACACGTCAAATGTACTGTTTAATTTATTTTTTAAAAAAACCCTCCTTTTTCTTAAATTTATCGAACCGCCCCCTACTAGCCTTACAAGAATCACTCTCAGGACTCATTCCGTGCGTGTCTTTCAAGAAGTCAGTTTTTGGCATCAGGAAGTGGCTCCTTTTTCCATTGATATTTTTTTTTAGAGAGAATAGAGGGGAGGAAGAAGGGGGAAGAGAGAGAAACATCGTTGTGAAAGAGACACACCGATGGGTTGCCTCCAGTTCATACCCTAACTGACAAGCCTTTGACCCAGAACCAAACCTCGACCCTTCAATCCATGGGCCAATGCTCCACCCAATGAGCAAAACCGGCCAGGGCTTGGCATCGGCACTCTTTCACATATCATTGCCTCTGAACAGCTTTCCTACCTCTTCAATTGCTTGTGATCATTGCTTCTTTCACTCCCTTAGCAACATTAGCACTCTTGTGGCCTCTTTATGTTTTGAAATTGTGCTAATCTCCTTTGTTTGTTGCCTGAGAGACGTTTTTTTGTCATGGTATCAGCATAAGAGGGTGGTCAGGTAGAAAACAGAACTTTGGTTTGACAACCGAGATATTTTTTGGTGCACAACTTGGTCAAGAATTGAATTGTTTGAGATGGGAGACGTTGGAGAACGGAGGTTTGACTGTCTTCTGCTCTATGTAATCCCTTCCCCAACACTAGAGGTTCTTGTTCCTGTCAGTCCTACAGTTATATTCGTAGGTGTCGCTCACTAAATAGTCATGTTCTGCCCTGGAGGTAGTTCCATGTCATCAGGAGGGGATGATAGAAACATATATAAACACACACTTGCTTTCAAAAATAAATATAGGGCTTCTAAAAGGCGCAGTGTAAAGTAAGCAAGCATTCTCTTCCTTGCAAAGCAGGCACACACTCTCATCGACCTTGTAACCACAGCCTGTGTTGGTACTAAGACTCAGACCCCTTAGGGCTTGATACTTGGCTTAGAGTGATTCTTTGTCTTGGCCTTGATTTCGGAATTAAGGTCTTCGGGCTTCTTTGGTTCTGTAATGTATATCTTGTAGCAGACAATCCAACCAAAAGCAGGATCCCCAGGCTGCTGCACACAACTTCCTCTGGTTTGCTCTGCCCCCTTTTCCTCCATGGGAACCAGCGTCAGGACTCCATTCAAATCCTCCATGTTTTTGTGTGGGTCTGAGCAGTAATAGGGAAGACAAGGAAGATCTCTGCAGAGCAATTGGTTCCAGTTCCCAGTGTTATCTTGATCTTGGCTTGAGGATATAAAGGCTCTGGTGTGTTTGATATTTTGTGATTATACCCTTAAACTTCTGACCCATGAGAGACATGGTTGACTATTTGAGACTCACGCGATAGAAGTCCTCAGCCTCAAATCCAACTTTTAGCATTATCAGTTAAATATCAGAACTTTATCCATTCTATCTATCTATCGATCTATCATTGGTCTATCTATCTCTGTCATCTTTCTTTGATGCAAGTACTATCTTCTTGAAGTTGATCATAGGGTAAAAGACCTCATCTATACATATAAAGAGGAAATATGCAAATTAGGCTGGGACACTGTAATGGGTCACTACTGGACAAGAGGAGGGTGTGTACGCAGGTGAGGCCTGGAGTGGAGATGAAGGCAAAGACGGGGGGCTGGTGAGCTACCATGCCTGGCTTGGGCTGCCCCCCCGCCGGAGCCGGAGCGGACACGGACAGGGACAGGGGGGCCAGCCTGCAGCCTCTGCAGCCGAGTGCAGGCCCAGAGAGGAGACGGCGAGCCCACCTCCCATGGAGCAGAGTGGCTCCCTCCCACCTCCCGCAGAATCAGCGTGTGTCCGGTCCCTCCTGGCTCCTGTGGAAGCAGTGCGGCTCCCGGCAGTGTGCCACGGTTCCCACCGGCTCCTGATGGCGCGCTGCAGTTCCTGCTGGCGTCCGCAGAAGTGGCAGGCGGCCTACTGCATGCGATATCGCACAATGGGCTACTAGTCTATAATAATAAAAGCGTAATATGCTAATTAGACCTGATAGCCAAATGACCTTCTGGATAACCTTCTGGACAAAGCCAGGACTGTAAGGGCTGAGGCAACCACCACGGCTGTGAGGGGTGAGCCCCTTGCATGAATTTTGTGCATTGGGCCTCTAGTACATACATACTCTGAAGGAATTTCTCTATGCATGCAGCATGTCTAAAAATCTAGTTTTGGGGGAGAGTGAGGAGGACATGGGGGGTATTATTTTTGTTTTTCTTCTGGGTAGTTCAACTAAGTCCCAAGTAAAGAAGAGAACCAATAGTAAGTACCCACTAAATACCAGACACATTGTTAAGTAGTTTATAGACATAAAAACTCCACAAATACGGTGGCTCATGAGTATGAGGTGACATCTTTCTATCCCCTTTTGTCTCCACCATCCCAAAATGATTCTTCTCAAGAGTGTCTTAAGGGAGCTGTCCTCTGATCCAAAATGGGCAGGATAAAGAAATAGAGATGTTACTGGAACTTTTCAGCTAGAAAATAAAGGGCTTACAATTAAAGGTGATTGGCACTGGCCCAGAGAGTGACGTCACTTTTGGAGTTGCTTTTGAAGTTCACCACCTCTTGACACACAACCCCTATCCACCTCCCCTCTGTGCCCTCTGTTGTCTTCAGGCTGATCTCAGACAAAACTGTAAAAGGAGTCCCACTGGCACTAATAATACCCTGCTTCTCCAACACACACACACATGTACATGCACACACACATGCCCTGTAGTGGGTGGAGTGCTACTTCAGTTGCTACTCCTGATTCATCACTCAAGAAAAACAAAAACAAACAAAACACCAAACAAACAAACAAAAAAACCCCACACATCACAAGGCTGTTCCTTCAGGCCCTGCTCTCAGATCTGGAGCTGATAGACTAATTGGGGCTAATGTGATAATGGGCAATAATGACAGTTACTGTCTTTTATCAGACATTTATATTTTAACAAGGCCCTTGGGAAAGACATGATTGAAGAGAGGGAATGGTGGGGAATGTTTAGTGAAGGAAAGGAGGCAGAGGGGCTTTTCGGAGACTCCCTAAGTGGTATCCCTAACCTCAAAAACCTTCCCCACCTGCCTGAGCTCCAAGACCCCACCAAACTCACCCGAACCCTCCCACCAAGTCTTCTCCACCGTCACAAACCTTGGCATTCATGTTGCATTAAACTAGGCAAACAACCAGGAAAAGGAATGTTACTACCGCTCACACACCTGAACATGACAACCACTTAGTTTTTGTTCAGTTCAGCCTTTGCTCATACACAGACTTTTCTTTTTCACACAGGGAACTTCTTGGTTTCAATCACAGAATCTTTGTGTCTTTGCCAAAACTCAATTTCCCTTTCCTCTCCCAGAGGGGGGGCGGCCTGGTGAGTTAAAGAAATCTCCTTGGACGCTTAGCTCATGCCAGGCCAGTGGCCAGAAAGACCTGGGAGAAAGTTAATGGTTAGGGGAGGGAACGTTTCTCGTGCCAAGAACAGTCCCTCACCTGTGTGCCCTGGGGGCCCAGGGAAGCAGGCCCTTGTCCCACGGGGATTGCATGGGTATTTAAAATCCAAAGAGCCTCCCCAGGGGGTTCTTGCCCAAAAGGTGTTTTATTTCTGGTTTCAGCATCTTGGCATTTTCCTCTGTCAATAAATAGTTAAAAAGACCATGTAAGTGTCAGGAGGAAGGAAAGATTCTGGATAACCCACCAACCAGATAGTCAGCTGTTCCACATGAAAGGACGCAGGGGGTCCTCTCTCCTGGGATCCTCCCTTTAACTTTTCTCTCTCTAGGCTGTTACCTGGGGGTGGGGGAGACGGGCTTTTCAAAGTCCATTGAAGTTGCCACTGCCCAACAGGTGATTGTGGTGCCTAAGAAGAGAACCCATGTGTGTGGGGGGGGGGGGGCGGGGGGTACCTAGCTAGGAGTCCCTTCAGAACCTGCTACCTGCATAGCCAGGGCAAAGCTCTTGATGCCAAAGCAGAGGAGACTAAATATAAGTTAGTACACGAGACAGATGTCACTCCCCTATCCCATTGTCTCCTCCAGATTTGAATTTCTGCTCACTTTGCTTTTACATTCTCCCTTCCTGATGGGAAGGGAGCGCACAGGTACTTTTCACCTGAAACAGCCGAAAAGAACAGTCACCACCAAATCAATTCCTCACCCATTAATAGGTTGTCTCTCTGCTCCTGAGACACAGGCATAACCTGGTTAGACCTGTTTTGTTTGAACACTAATGTGTGAGTTGGCCAAATGCAAATGAGCCAATGTTTGTAATCCTTTATTTTATTTTTTTAAAGGGCCCGGCAGCCAATCAGAAGAGGAGGAAGTGACTTAGGGAATTCCCGGTTGGTGGCTTATTGCTTAACATCCTACAAAATGATTCAAAATTATTGTCATATGCATTTATCTTCACTCTGATGAGGGCTCAGACGTGATAACAGCCCAGGTTCCCTATCCCCGCAGGAGCTGGCGTGACGGCTGCCGGCCGCCTCCCCTCCATTAGCCACAGCTATTGGATTTCCCACCCAGAATCTTTAGCAAATGAGGTAAGTCCTTATTTTTAAACCTTCTTTGGAATCTGGAATTCAACCACCTGAGTGGAAAGAGGAGCCTGCTGGAATCAGACAGATGAAACTAAAGCAGACTCCCGGAGGCAGCAGGCAGGAAGTAAGCTCCACTCACCTGTGCTTGCCTCACTGGGTCTTAACAGAAGTGTATGTTGGGGGGCAGGTGGGCTACGTTGGATGTGTGCTGTGAATTCCTTGTATTCAGCCTGGACGTCTAGTCACTGTGAATTTAGAAGCCCCTGGTTTCCTTCTATCTGTGTGACAAAGCCATTTTCCTGGGTTGAATTCTGAACCCAATTGGCAGCTTAGCTCGGTGCAGAACTGGTTGGCTCAATAGCTGTTGGGGCTCATGTTCTCACGTTCTAGAGATGTCTTCTGTTGGTAATTTTTCTGACGCAGTTGGAGGGAAAGGCAGAGTCCTTTTTAGTATATTCGGTGGTGGAAGATGGCCGGAAATAAGCAAGGGCATTCGCATCCACACCAGGAAAAGCGGCCAGGCAGCCCAGGTAGGCAAGGGCATTGGGGAGAGCTCCTTGCCTAAAAATGACTTTGTCCAGAAAAAAAAAATTGGCAAAGAGTTTTGCCATATCACAAGGTGACAAAATAACCGAAATATTGGCCTCAGGGTGGATGCAGCTAGGAACAGTGAGGAATTAATTTTCTTATTGGTAAATAACAACACCGAGTTGGGAAGGTGATGTGTTCACCATCTGCCTTTGGCAAGGTTCAGGATACTCCCGGTATTGAGGGAGCATGTGTCTTTTTTAGATGAAGTGCACAATTCTGTGAGCCTATGTACACAGGTGTGTGTGCCGGTCACTTACCTTAGGGGCAGGTAGAGAGTGAATGTGCGAATTCGGAGAACTTTCAGACGGAAGGTCTAATTCAGGCATTGATTCTGTAGACATGGGTGTGAGGATGTGGTCAGAGAGAGCCTTTCCCTATATAAAAGGGCAGCTGGGGATCATGAGTGGACGTGTGCTAATTTCCGAGGTTAAAGGAAGAGCCAGTTTCCAACAGGAGCAATGAAGTTCTGTTGTTAGGAAGAACTGCATGGAGAAGCCACACTATCCGAAAAGGCTCTTCGGAGATTGGAAGAGTGACATTAATCGCTGCATTTGGAGTGTGGAGAAGGCCCCCTGGTCCTCTTTTGGAGGCCCAGAATCCTCAGACTGTCAAATAACTCGAAAGCCATTTTTAAATCTGAAGTCCTGTAGGATCACGCCATTTCCACACCAGTGGCTGATGGCGTATGTGGCTAGATATTAAAAACGTTGGAACCTGGAAACGAGAAATGAGGGTCATTTGGAAGTTTGTAATCACATTTGAAAAAAATGAATACAATGGAGACGATCCTTTTCCATGTTGCCAAAGGATTTTACAAAGGCATGTTTTAAAAAAAAAGTAATTTTGAGGGAACCACTGTGCTGTAAGTTCTCTCATGTTACTATGTGAGATGGCGGCCCAGACTGGGCCGCCTTAAGGTGGCTATGGATAGGGTGATGCCTTTGATCCAGTGCCATATGTACAAAAGAGCTCAAATTCAATTATATATTTTCTTTTTGTGCCAATAAGCTTCTATTTGTTAAATTCAAACAATCCTTTTTGTGACATTCTTATTTCTTTTAAAAAATACATTGTGAGCTCCCCAGCATGGAAATGCCTTGTTCCTTCCTGAACCTCTGAGAAGCCCGGTTCCTTCACACTTCCCGTCCCGTGTTAATGCACCCATTCATTCACCAACTCTACCCAGATCCTCTTTCAATGCCTTTCGACTCCCTGAGAGGCTGAGACAAAATGAAAACCGAGAGGTTAAACTATTTGCTCAACTGCATTCAATTCGTGAATTGGAAACTGGAAGGAATTCATAGCAGGTTTCAGGTCAGAATGTGAGTGCTTTGGGCCACCGTTCCCTGCTAGGAAGTGGAATTTAGCTTTTGTGAATCTTGTACTGTTTATTTCCTCCTCATACCCCTCACCCCCTTCTCTAAATTAGGGGATTTTAGCCCTGGGTTGTGTTCTTGAGACCATCTTGCTTTTCTGAAAGCCCAGCGCTAAGAACCTTGGTCAATGTTAAAGCATCCAACACAGACACAGAGATTGATACAAGTCATTAAAAGGTTATTCAGTCTCCCCCGACCTCAGATGCAGTCATTTCTAAGTCCTTTCAAAGAGAGGTGATTTTCAAAGGCCTCTGGGTGGGGTGGCAGCCATGGCAGAACCTGCTAACACACTGGAGAAGCAATGCCACAGTTTTAAGGAACCAGATACTATAAAGTTGGAACCTGATTTTTTGGTGACACCCTTTTGCTGCGTTTCAGCTCATTTCTCTTGTAGAGATGGCTTTCTGGTAGAATTAAAGTGACAATCACTTCTGTTGTGGGTGGGGCTCTGGTCAGGAGGTATTGACTGCACTGGAGGCTTGGTGTTTAGAGACCACGTGTTCTCACCCTGACGTGGTTACTGGGGGTAACCGGCCGAGTGGGTCAGCCGATCATCATCTGAAAACAGAGTCAGGGTGGCAGCCATATCTTGCCAGGATTCCCTCAAATCTGTTGGATGACTGCAGAGGTGGGAAAGATAAACTTTATTTAGTGTGTTCTGATTGCAGTTTTTAAAAGATTTTAAATAATATGATTTGTCCTAAGGAATAGGCAATTGCACTCTTATTAGATATATGTGACTGCTATGTTTTTATTTAAATTGGACAGGGTGTTAAAGGGCCAGACCATTAAGCTGTGCAGGAAATAAACAATGTGGTAGGGAGAATGGTGGTAATATTGAATGGGGCATGTGTTCAAGCTGAATAGCACTGATGTCAGGAAGCTGGGGTGTGCTGGAGGAGAAATTTCCATGGATCCCTCAGAGTTATTGGATAAAAAATTTATTGGACTTCAGAAGAGAAAAACACGCACACATTTCTTTAAGAATTGTCCCTGAAGAATTTCAGATACACCTTGTGAGTGATTGGAGCACAGCGTGGACAGGGGGTGTGCAGGACAGCGCCCAGGACTGGCAGTCAGAAGGCCTGCTTTTCTAGCTCCGGCAAAGCTACGTGCTCAGAGCCACACACTCCACCTCTCTGGAATTTAGCCTCTCATCAGGACAAAGGAGCTTGACTCTGATTGTCTCTAAGATCCATTTTAACCCCTGGAGTCTGATGACCGGGAAAGAATGGAAGGTCAGCGAATCCATTCCAACCCCTAGATTCTAACGACCTTCCTATGCCTGGAGGCCAGCAGGTTTTCCTGGAGTCTGTGAAAGCTGAGAATGGGGTGGAGACACCCTCCCTCTTCAGGATGAGACAGGAAAGAAAACCAGTAGGAGCCTTACATGGCTTCCTTGGGGTCTTCAGAATGCTGTCTAAGGGATGCAGGTGGAGGTTCCAAGACCAGATACCTGGAGCCTCTATTGGGGTGTTAGAGTCTGTTCCCACGACAGCATCCCACCTTGATCAACCTGCCTCCTGTGTCCAAGGTTGGTGGGAGTGTGGAGGCGGATGAAGCTGTTTTGTGACCACAGGGAGCAGTGGGTGTACAGGAGAAGGCACTTACTGACGTCTTCTATAAAACACCAAAGCCGTCTGTTGGAAAGTGAACATACAGACACTCATGGAGCCACTCAGCTTGCGTGGTGCTGATCAGTTCGCTTAACTGACAGTCCATGGATTATTGGGTAGATTGGATGGACAGGGACTCACTTCTAGAGGAAGACCCTAGGGGTAGCAGAAGGGGCGCATGATTGGCTGAGCCACGGGGCAGCCAACCTGGGGATGTGGGTGTTCCCAGAGGGCCTCAGCCTATGTCTGCAGCAACCAGGCCTGCACCAGGATGAAGCCGGGTGGCCCATGTAAAGAGGCTCCCAGGGTTTTAATTGGCCCTGTTTTAAAAGAGACCTGTTGTAAAAACACTCTTTTAAAAATTGATTTCACTAGCTCCTAACCACACTCTGTCTCCAGTTTGTTTTACAGGGCTGGGCCCCTCTTGTAGTTCATTAGATCCACATGATCTTTTTTGTCTCTCTACAACCTTGTTCCACACCCTGACCCTCAGAGCCCCCTCTCCTTCCTTTCTCAGAAGCATCTTCATCATTATTAAAGTTGTCTGCCTACTTATTTAAAATCTGGCCAGCATAGGTTCATTCAAAACATGCTTTCTGATGAAAACAAAGCCGAAAACAAAAAGGAGCCCCAATGCCTATGATAGTATTTTGATTATTAGACTAATGGACCACCTCATTAACCCCAGTTTTAACACAAGCACTTACTTTTACTTTTGTATGACCTTATCTAGATGCAAACGTCCTGTGATACTGTTGTAATTGCGGTGAACTTAAACTTTCATATCCTGCCACTGCCCCCTCACTCTATATTACAGACACAAACAATCTTGGGGGTTAACCGTCATTGACCCAATTATGGATTTGAGAAATTTGCACCACCCCGCTGGCTCTTTCTCAGCTGGATGGAAACTTCTTCTAAAGGTCTGAATAGTCTTTCCTGGAGTATGAAAAAGATCTTCTATTTTTTGCATATGACAAAGGATCTTGGAGAATGTGGCCGTCTTGTAGAGATTACTTTGGGATCCTTTTCAGTAGTTCCCTTAGTGGAGATAGTGATGGGTTCTGGTGGCTCAGGTAAGTGTGGTCGAAAAGGTGAGGCTGTCTTCAGCCGTGTCTGCATGCCGACTACCAACAAGACTTATTTCGTCTTTGCAGTGGGTGTTAGATTTGGCCCAAATCCAGCCTCAGTCTCAATTATGTCCACTTGTGAAATTAGAAGCACCTCGGTTCCATTGTAATTCCACTGCTCAGAAGGTGATGGCTTGAGGAACGCAGATGAAGGGCAGGCTTTGCTTGTATATTAAAGGGGCAGGAGGCTACGAGTTTTGGTTGCCTGGAAACAGCTGGAAGGGTACAAAGAACATTAGGTTTAGTCAAAATATCTGGGTTCAAATCTGACCGCGCCATGGGTAGCTGAG